TGTGCAGTGGTGGTGGCTACAGGAGCCGCCGTAGTGGATGTTGAGGAAATGGAGGAGAAGAATAAGAAGAAGAAGAAGAAGAAGAAGAGGAGGAGGAGGAGGAGGAGGAGGAGGAGGAAGAGGAGGAGGAAGAAGAAGAATATGAAGAAGAGGAAGAAAAAGAAGAAGAAGAGGAGGAGGAGCAGGAGTAGTAGTAGTAGTAGTAGTAGTAGTAGTAGTAGGAGGAGGAGGAGGAGGAGGAGGAGGAGGAGGAGGAAGAAGAAGGTTCGGGGGTGCAGTCAGTGTTAGTTGTTGGCGTGGAGGATGAGGCAGATCTGGACGAGGCGACAGCAATTGGTGCAGCCCTGATTCTGCAGTTGGTCCGGAGATGTCTAACAAGTCCAAAGGACGCCTCGAATGTCCGTAGACATCGTGGACACGTAGGAGGCGGTTGGGCGTTGGCGTTGCGAGGTGAGCACAATAGGGATTTGTGAGCCCCGCTTTGGCTTTCGCGGCGGTGATGCGGTTTGCTTCGTAGACCACTGCTCCTGTCTTCAATGTCCTCCTGAGGATCGGTCAATCTCGGACCTAGTTTGCCAGGTTGATCTGCAGGAGCTTTAGGGAAGTCTTCAGAGTGTCCTTGTATCGACAGATTTGGCCTCCTTGGAGGCGGGGACCCGTGTGGACGTCCCCATAAAAGAGTCGTTTGGGTAGCCGTTCGTCGTCCATCCGCACGAGATGTCTGCTCCAACGCAGTTTCAGCTGTCTCAGCATGACAAAGATGCCGAGGATTCCCGTCCACTTCAGTAAGTCTGTGTCGGGGATCCGGTCCTGCCACCTCAGCTTCCGTACCCGAAGAAGACAGCTGATGTGGAAATGATTGAGTCCCCGCGCCTACTTCTTGTACATCACCCAAGTCCTCGCTCCATACAGCAGCATCGGCAGGAGGACCACCTTGTACGTCTTCAGTTTGGTGTCGAGTTGGAGACTGTGGCGATTCCAAACCGTGCTTTGCAGACAACCGAAGGCTTGGCTGGATTTGGAGGTCCGGCGGGCCACTTCATCCTCTACTTTGGTGTTGCGGGAGATGGTGCTGCCCAGGTATGTGAAGTTGTCCACGACTTGCAGTTGGGCGCCATTCAGTCTGGTTTGGGGTGCGACGTAGGTAGCGCCGGGTGGCGTTTGATGCATAACCATTGTCTTCTCCGTGTTCATGTCCAGGCCGAGGCTTTCGCAGGCGGTGGCATCAGTGAAAAGTTCCATGCTCATTTGTATGTCCCCTTCTGAGGTGGTTTTGAGAGCGCAGTCGGCAAAGGGAATTTCATAAACGGTAGTTGTGGATGCACACGACTGGAAGTGTATCTGTCGGTGGCTGGGGAGTTGGTTGTCCGTCCCGTAGGCGATGTGGATTTCAGGGCGTTGAGAAGGATGCAAACGAAGATTCTCCCGACAATGTTCAGCAGGAAGATGCCTTGATAGTCGTCGCATATTTGACGATTCCCTTTCTGCTTGTATAGATAGACGATTGTGACGTCCTTAAAATCCTGTTGAACTTCTCCTTGACGCCACATCACCTAGGAGAGCACCGTCAGATAATCCATGAGTTGTGGGCCGCCGTGATTGTGGGCTCCAGCAGACATCGCGTTTGATCCGCGTGCTTTCCCGCTGAAGAGCTACTGCCCGGCCCTGATGGTTTCGTGAAGAGAGGGCGAGCCGTCGAGGTCGTCGTTGGTCTCCACTAGAGACAGACAAGTGATGGCGATGTTGGAGACGGTAGAGGGACGGTTGAGGACGGCTCTGAAGTGCTCGGCGCACTGCTGAAAAATTTGTGTCTTCTTGATGAGTAGGGTACTTATGTCGGCAATGAAAAGAGGAGCAGTTGCTTTGGTTTGCGGAACGTGAACAGCCGTGATCACGGAGAAGACATTCTTCCATTCGTTGCGGTCCCTGTAACCTCGGATCTCCTCGGCCTTGGAGCCGTCCAAACGTCCTGCATCTCCCGCAGCCGCTGTTGCACAAGGCGGCGACTACGGTAGAAAGCTGCTTTGCTAGAGTCGATGGGGCGATTGTCGTAGGCTTTGTGCAGGCGGTTCTTCTCAGAGCGCAGGTTGCTGATGTCAGCATCCTTGTCATCGAACCAGTCCTGATGTTGGCGTCGTGTGTGACCAAGGACGGTCAGGGCCATCGATTGGACTGTGTCCTGCAGTTGACACCATCGGTTCTCCACGGAGGCATTCTCATCAGCGACGGCGGCAGTGGCGGCCGCGACGGCGGCAGCGACTAGAGGGCTGGCTAGCCGTTGAGCTAGCTCACTGCAGAAATAGAGATGGTGGGCAGACAAAGACAACAAAACGACATTCAGCCTACCTGGGGTCCGCTTACCCTGAGGTTTCCTGTGAGGCTGTAGGCGAATCCGCATCTTGGAGATGGCGAAATGATGGTCGGTCCACCCGTCGGCACGGGGAATAGCCTTTGTCACCAGCAGGTCCCGCTGGTCTCGCTCCGCACGAGGACATAGTCAAGCAGGTGCCAGTGTCACGTCCGAAGATTCCTCCAGGTGGCCTTCTCTCGCGGTGGAAGGTTGAAGGTGGCGTTAGTCAGGATGAGGCGGTGTTCTGTGCAGGGTTGTAGGAGGAGCAGGACATTGTCATTTGAGTCGTGGAGAGCATGGGGACCCAGCACTCCTCTCCAGGCAGCATGGTCTGTGCCGATAAGAGTATTAAAGTCACCAAGGACAATCAACTTATCCGCCTTCGGCACAGTCGTCAGGAGGTCGTGCAGGTCCCGTAGAATTTGTCCCTTGCAGCGTCATGGCTGGTCATCGGGGTGGGAGCGTAGACGGTGACGATGGTGACAAAGTTGGATCTCCGAAGAGGAAGGCAGAGGCTCATTAGGCGATCGTGGATACCCTGCGGCAGATAGGGCAATCGTCCCACGATGTCGTTCCGGATGTCAAAGGCGACGCCCGTGTCACGTCGCTCTGCCCTAGGACAACCGCTCCAGAAGAAGGTGTAGCCGGCACCCACCTCCTCCAGTTGGTCCTGTTCGGGTAACCGGGCCTCACTGAGTGCAACGATGTACATCTTGTAGCGCGCCAGTTCCCGAACCAATAGCGCCGTCCTCCATTTCGGCCGGTTGTTCCTCGAATTGTCTTAAACGGAGGGAACATTTCAGGCTGCCAGAGTGAGCGAACTCACCCTACCAGTCTGGCGAGTGAGGCTGCGGGGAGAAGGAGGGAGAAGAGAGAGAGTGTGTTGTTTCTGGTTTGGTTGTTTCGATAGTAAGTTTTGCGCCTGAGGCAACGGTCAGCCTGCAGACGGCGTGGGTTGCCAGCATTTTCTTGGTGCTCATTTTCTAACCTGTTCCCTCCAGCGGGATTGAGTACTGCTCTCCTTAAATAGGGCAGCTCAGTTGTCGCAGACGGCTGCCGAACTCCACTATGGGCCAGGACTTTTGCTAAGCGAGAGAGCGACCCGAGTTAGCTTGGGCCTGCCTACGACATGGCCGTAGGACTTGAAGGGGGAGGTGGAGGGGGAAGGGTAGAGAGACGGGATGCAGAGCTTCCCCACCCCTCTCTCAGCGGAATGATTGTTGAAATATAAACGGTGAGTAGACAAGTTCAACAGGACGAAATTTGGCTTACGATAAGGGAAAACACAAACAAGCGGACAAACAGCAACCCGGCACAGCAATGATCGCTTACCTGAGGGCTTACTTACCTTGTGGTCTCCTGTGGTGTTACAGACGGAGTCTCGCCTTGGAGATACTGAAGCGGGGATCCATCCGGCCAGCGGAGCCGAGTTACCGTGTGCGGAGATGCACGCACGGCTACCCTCACCTGGTTTAGCCTGCCGGTCAAGACGGTTACCGGGGTGTGGGCGCTAGTCAGAGCCATAAAAGGCCGCATTAACACAGTAACCCAGTAATATAGTTAACATGTCGTTGAATATACACAAACCGAAATGTTAGGTGTCTTCTTGTGATCCATGCCATTTAGATCCGAATGTGCAGACTGTACATTTTACAGTGCCTGAGCTCTTGTTACACTGCCTGGCTGTTTATTTTTCAACAGGACAGGATTTTGGCGGAGCATCAAGTGATGCAGCGCTTCATAGCCTACCTCAGCCTCGAAGAATGGCTCAAATTTTTCAGCGTTTTTCCTTCGTGGAACTTCACCTTCCCTGACGTCATTGTCCTTTCTGAGGACTGTTCAACCACTCTCATGTGCCTGCTTGAAAGAAAACTCAATTGCCAGATTCGCACGCTCGAACTCAAGGGTCCGGGACCAACTTCTGCGGGTGGTGCCCTGGGCATCCTGCACAAATGTCTTGCCCTCGAGGGGCAGGCCTTTTCCTGCCTAGTTCACCTAGATCTGAGTGCACAGATGCAACCAATCGATTATTTTCTGCAACTTTTTCATGGGCGAATCAGTGCATTTCCACTTTTGCGGTTCCTCTCTGCCCGACTCACTGATCCTGACCGGTCCGATCAGCTGATTGATGAGGTGACGGCTCCCCCCCTGTTGGATGAAGTGAAGCTGTTCCTGGTGAGTTACATCAGTGAGGAGGATCCCTTTCTACCACAACTCCTGCGTCTCCTGAGAAACATTGCGGTTCTGACTGTCTGCGAGGGGATGGTGGATTGCGTACCCTGGTTGCATTTTATCGGGAGTCCAGAGCTACGGGACACCCTCTGCAGACTCCAGTATCTCAGTGTTGACGCTGGAAGTGAGCTTCTGGAGGTGGTACACAATATGCCTTTTGTAGAACGCAATGTTCGCTTCCCTGCTCTTCGAGAAGTCTACGTTCCCACGACTTGCATTTCTTACGACAGAGCTCTCTTGGAAAATGGGGTCAGTTTTTCGGGTGAGGCGCTTTTGAATAATGTTGCCTCGTCTTCAGAAAGTAACTTCCTTGATTGGACCAAGGAGAATGTTCAGATAGGGCGATGGACGCCCCTCGGACCAAGGGCTCATGCGCTCATGCTCGAGTTACTTTTTTTCCCGGATAATCCCACACCTATCAGTGAGGTTTCGTCGGCTCTGCTTTTCGTCAGGCAGTTTGGTCATTTAGTTGAGAAGCTGGTCATCACAGTGTGTCCTTCATTAGTGCCTGAAAGCCTGACAGAGTACATATCCTTCCTTAATCGTTTTAAAGCTCTTTGTAAGACTCATCTTCTTCGTATTCTGACACTAACTAGCCCTAAACTGCGTTCTGTTGAAATCCCCGCAGAGTTGGCGGACCCCCGTAGTATTGATCCGGAGTTTGAAGCAGCACTGGTTAGGCATCGAGCGCAGTTCTACTCAGTGAAGGCATGCTTTATTAAGTCGCCTGTGGGCTTTACCTTCTGCAATAGTGCAATCTGGCACTCCTGTCATTGCCTGAGGAACATCCCCCACTCACAACCCATGAAGAACATATGCGGCCTGTTTCCCGGTCTCGAAGATCTTATCATAACCTCGGACAGTCACCTTGATCCGGAAGACCTCGGTGAAGTGCCTAATTTCTGTCCATTGTTACGTCGTCTATTCCTGCATAAATGGCCCTACTCTCTGTATCAGTATTCACAGATCATCCAGGAAATCC